GCATGGGGTGGGTCACGATTGGGGGTGGTCGCAATCGGGAGTCCCGTCAGCGCGGGGCTGCAGGGCTGCTGTTGGCCCTTCTCTCCTCCGACCGGGGCTTCTCTCCTCTCTGTCCCGCGCAGGGAAGCTGAACCTGGTGGACCTGGCCGGCTCCGAGCGGGTGTGGAAGTCGGGGGCGCAGGGGGAGCGGCTGAAGGAGGCCCAGAGCATCAACAAGTCCCTGCTGGCCTTGGGCGAGGTGATCCAGGCACTGCGGGCCAAGCAGGCCCACGTCCCCTTCCGCAACTCCAAGCTCACCTACCTGCTGCAGGACTCCCTGGGCAAGGGGAGCAAGACCGTCATGCTGGTGCAGGTGAGGGCAGGTGAGGGGGGATCGGGGCCCCGCCTGGACAGGGCAGGGGGGGGGGGCGCTCTTGCCCCTGCTGGGGAGGGTCAGGATTCCAGAGGGCACCATGTCACCTCTTGTCCTTCGGCCCCCACCCCCCCAGATTTCCCCCTTGCAGAAGAACGTGGGGGAGTCCATCTGCTCCCTGAAGTTCGCCCAGCGGGTGTGCAAAGTGGAGCTGGGCCCAGCCTCCCGCCGCATCGACTCCTCCGCCCAGCGTGACGCCTGAGCCTGCCACAGCCGTGCCCGGTGGCCTGGAGTGCAGCCAGAGACCTTTCGGAGACCGGCCGGTCCTGGGTGCAGAAAAGACCTCCCCCCCACACACACTCAGTCCAGCCTGAGTGCCGTCCCCCACCCCTGGGGGCCACAGAGTCTTGAGAGTCAGGGCCTCTCTTTACCCCCCAAGACTATGGCTTCCCCTTCCGGGCCATTCCTCGTACCAAGAGCACCAAGGCCTGTTTTCGGCAAGGTTGTTGCTGCTATTGGACCTGCCTCCTTGCTGTCTCGCCCCTCCCCTCCAATGGGGTCCCCCCATTCCCTTCTGTCCAATGCTGGGGAGTTGCTGTTTTGTTTGGCTACACCCCCCCCCCCGGGGACAGGGCCCACGTTGGCACCCGAGGCCTTTCTTGGCGGAGAGCCCCGCCTGCATGTCTGAATGCACGCGTGCTCCCTCCCCTCTGTCTCCCCAGGCCCCTCCCTCCTTCCCTGTCCCCCTCTTTGCAAGGCCTACTCAGAGTAGGTGCCCCTGGGCATCATCCCCTTTAAGCGGACTTGCCGTCAGGAGGGCTCAGGTCTGCCCCAGTGGTGGGTTTCTACCCCAGCCGGTTGGAGCGAGGGATTCCAGTCCATCCTCCTGGGGTCCCCTTGGCTTCTGGAAGCTTCCTCCAGTGCTCAGACCCCCCCAGGGTGATTCAGGAAGGATTCGGGCTTGTTCCCCCCCCCTGCTCTTTTGCAAGCCGATTGCATGGGGGTACAAGAGCCAGTTTGGTGTGGCGGTTAAGTGCGCGGACTCTAATCTGGGAGAACCGGGTTTGATTCCCCCACTCCTCCACTTGCACCTGCTGGATGACCTTGGGCAAGCCATAGTTCTGACAAGAGCTGTTCTCGGGAGACCTCTCACAGCCCTGCCTACCTCACAGGGTGTCTGTTGTGGGGAGGGGAAGGGAAAGGAGTTTGTCAGCCGCTCCAAGGCTCTGAGTGAAGGGTGGGGTATAAATCCAATCTCCTCCTCCTCCTCCTCCTCTTCCACCAATGGAAGAAGAGTCAGTTTGGTGTCGTGGTTAAAGTGCGCGGACTCTAATCTGGGAGAACTGGGTTTGATTCCCCACTCCTCCACTTGCACCTAGCTGGATGACCTTGGGCCAGCTGTAGTTCTGATAAGAGCTGTCCTTTGAAAAAGAGCCGTTTCTGCCAGAGTTCTCTCAGCCCCGCCTTCCTCACAGGGTGTCTGTTGTGGGGAGGGGAAGGTGAAAGAGTTTGTAAGCCACTCTGAGACTCCCTTGGGTAGTGAAGGGCAGGGGATAAATCCAATCTCCTCCTCCTCTTCTCTCCTTCCTGAATTTTGTGGCGCCAGGGACAATGGGTGGGGGGGGATCACCTCCCTCCCTTCCAGCACTGGCCTAAAGTATTACTGGAAAACGAAGGCTGTGGAGAAGTCTGGACCCCCCCCCGTGCCCATTCCCCCCCCCTCGCTTCCTGGAGCCAGAATTCACTTTCCCATGGAGGCTTCCCCCCTTACCCCCCACCCCACCCTGGAAAAAGGTGCCGTTCCCTGTCTTTCTGCACCGACTTTAGGGCAGGCCTCCCTCTTTGGGCTAGAGTTTGCCCTCTCTGCAAGGAGCACTTCCTGCTGCCTGGTCTTTGCCCACACTGTTCAGGGGTCTCAGCACGCAGGTGCCTTGCAGGAGCCCGCAAACCCGGGGGTGGGGGGCGCGTTGCACAGCCCTTTTGCATTCCATCTCTGCTTCGGACCAGCAGAGAGATGGAAAGGGAAGCTGCACTGCTGGACTCTCCCCCCCCCCCCCCCCCATCTCTCCTGTGCAGTCAGCGCCCCGCCTCCATCTCTCCTGATCCCTCCTGAGTGGACCCGATCCACTGGATACTTACCTGGGCAATAAATGGGGAGTCCTCCTGGTGTACACGCGCGTGTTTATTTATTGTCTGGCAGAGTTACATAAACTATGTAATCAAGTTGATATGCAGTGGGTACGCAGGGCACACGCCGCTGCACTCTTGACGCCTGCCTTTTAGATTCAGACAGCTCAAATGCTTGCAGGGCTCTGCCACCCCTCCAAAGGCAGGGTGCGTGGCTTCCGGAGAGGAATGAATCCTGCCAGCGGCCCCCTGGCAAAGAGCCCGGAGCCAACCCTTTCTCCTTCCCGATGGAGGATATGGGTCAGTCTGCCGTTGAAGCAAGCCTTCCAAGTTTCTTCAAGCCTAACCCCTTGGTTGTGTGGTTCCGGTGGGCGGCCATGTTGGTCTTAAGCAACTGAACAAAAAAGCTCCTCCATTAGCATGTTCACAGCCTGGGGGAATCCTACAAAATAACGACTCAGCCCTATCCCACCTTCCTGAGTAGATATAAATTTCCTGCCTACCATTATTCTTCTCATTTTGAGACAGAGAGTACTCCCTCTTTCTGTGTTATACCTCTGAGAATGCCAGTCACAGCTGCTGGCGAAACGTCAGGTCCTACAATGCCAAGACCACGGCCACACAGTCCGGAAAATCTACAACAGCTAATGAACTCTGGCCGCGAAAGCCTTCGGCAACATAACCAACCGAGCAAAGTTGGAGTCCAGCGGCACCTTTTAAGACCCACAAAGTTTCATTCTGGGGATAAGCTTCCGTGTGTCCTGGTGGTGTGCAGCCCACCTCGGGCAGCAGGCAAAAATATAGGACAGATGGACTCCCGTTCTGGCTGTATCTGAAGAAGCGAGCAGTGCCTCACGAAAGCTCCTCCCCTGCCACTAGCCACTTGAGCCACCGCAGCTCCTGGACTCTGGCTCTTTTCTAGGTCGCAGTATAAGAAGTAGATTTGAGTCCAAGAGCCCCTTTGAGACCAACAAGGGTTTCAGGACGTCCGCTTTCCAGAGCCAAAACTCCCTCCATCAGATACAAATAGGAGCAGAGGTTCCCCGAGTCCTTCGATCCTTGTCAGGGATCTCCATTCCGACTTGTATCTCGACGAAGGGCGCCTGGACTCTCCAAAGCTCATAACCAGGGTTCCCTCTAAGCCGAGGTAGTGTGAGCTGGCTCAGTGTTCTAGCCTCCAGAGCAAACTAATGCATGCAGCAGCCAAATGGCTCGCTCACAACTTTAATGCCAGGAGCTCACAAGGTAGGATTGTTGCTCACAAGGCTCCACCGCTCAGAGGGAACATTGCTCATAACCCTGAAAATTCTTGACTTTGGACCCGGATCTAGTTATCCTACCGAGAGCAGCTCTTTGTAATGAAATGTGCCCCTTCCGTTGCCCTCTGAGTACCCCTGACAGAGATGGGGCAGACAGTATCAAGGCGGCCTGGGGATTTGAGGGGTGGAACCTCAGTAGGGTAGAATGTCATGCAGCCCACCCTCCAAAGCAGCCGTTCTCTCCAGGGGAACTGATCTCTGTCATCTAGGGATGAGTTGTAATTCCTGGAGGGTGGCAACCGGAACCTGGTGCTCTCAAGCAAGCTCCAGCGCCATCCCTCTTTCACCACTGCAGGATCGTCCAAAGAAAAACAGCCCCGCTGTCCCACCCAAAATGCCCAGCCGGCCTCCGGAGAGACCACAGAGGAACGTTAAAAGACACAGCTTCTTTGCCCTGGCAAGAGGCATTCATGCTTTCTTAATTAGTTATTTCTATTCGGCTTTTATACCGCCCTCCCTGCAAGCGGGCTCAGGGCGGTGTGCAACAGGTCCCTATAAAAACACACACAAAATCATTAAATAGTCTAAAAATACAATTCTAGAAATACCCGATAACCACGTGCAGTGTTCCCTCTAAGAGGAGTTAGTGTGAGCTAGCTCAGTTTTTTTAGCCTCTGGCTTACAAATTTTTGTGTCGGCTCAGGAAGGACAGCTCCAGAGCAAACTAATCTATGTAGCAGCCAAATCTCTTGCTCACAACTTAAATGCCAGGAGCTCACAAAGTAGAATTTTTGCTCACAAGACTCCACAGCTTAGAGGGAGCATTGCCCACGTGGTGCTGTAATACAATTCTAACCCCCCAATTTACTTTGCTATAACAGCAGGCGGGAGGGGGTGAAAGCAGCTAGTGAACCAAATATCTGTTGGCAATTATTAACCAGATTATTAGGATATCACGAAAAACTTTTTCAAGGTCAGAGTGGTTCAGAGGTTGAATCAGCTGCTGCCTAGGGAGGTGGTTTCGCTCCCCTTCACTGGCCGCTTTCAAGAAGAGGCTGGAGGAATATTTGTCAGGGATGCTCTAGGCCGGTCCTGCACTGGGCAGGGGGTTGGACTAGATGGTCTCTACGGGACCCTTCCAACTCTGTGGTTCTATGAAGGGTGATGCAGGCTGAGGATACTGGGCACAGTTTTGCTTCTTTAACAAATCTCTCCTGCACAGTTTGGGTCTAGCCGCTTGGCTCTTGCCAACCTTGACCATCTTAACCTGTGGATAAGCACAAGCGGGAATCTAAAGCGGCTAAAATCTTAAAGTCAGGGATGCTCTAGGCTGGTCCTGCATTGGGCAGGAGGTTGGACTAGATGGCCTCTATGGGTCCCTTCCAACTCTGTGTGGTTCTATGAACCATTAGATCAGGCATGTCCAACTTCGAACAGGTGGTGATCTATTTTTTCCGGCCAAAAGTGCCGGTGATCTACCACCATGAAAATAAAGTTTCAAATTAGTTTCAAATTAGATTTTAACCCACTAAAGTTGGCTTCCACCGCCCCGCCCCCCATTTATAATGCACCTTCTGTCATTTACTTGTGAGCAAAAACAAAACAGAGATGAAGATCCAGAAAGAACTGCAAACACTTTTTATTTTTATAACTTTAACGGTCTCAATAACTTTCTTTAACTTTTATTCAGAGTGATTTGTGTTAAATATAGGTCAAGTATTGATCCAGGCTGATCTTGCACAATCTTTAAAACCTCGCTCTTGCTCATTAGTGAGACCATTAGTGAGACCAAGTGGGGCTGGTGATCTACCTCTGACCCCTCTGACCCCAGTAGATCGCGATCTACCTGTTGGACACACCTGCATTAGACCATTGATTTTAAACCCATTGATGCTAAATACCCTTGCAGTCCTTATCCTTCTGTTGTGGAATTCACAGGTATGCTGCCTTTAAAACGGGAGGTCCCGTTCCTCCATGGATTGGTTTAATCCAGTTAAGTCATGTCGGCCCACAAGAATGGTTGCCAACCCCATTTGAGGCCTGGAGATCTCCCAGAATTCCAACTGCTTTCCGGAAGATAAACTCTGCGTGGTTCCATGAAGGGTGATGCAGGCTGAAGATACTGGGCACAGATTTGCTTCTTTAACAAATCTCTCCTGCACACTTTGGGTTTAGCCTGTGGATAGGGGACTCAAAAGAGGCTAAAATCTTAAAGTCAGGGATGCTCTCGGCCGGTCCTGCATTGGGAAGGGGGTGGGACTAGATGGTCTGGTCTCTATGGGACCCTTCCAACTCTAGGATTCTATGAACCATTAGATCAGGGGCATGTGGTGATCTATTTTTTCCGGACAAAAGTGCCGGTGATCTACCACCATGAAAATAAAGTTTCAAATTAGTTTCAAATTAGATTTTAACCCACTAAAGTTGGCTTCCACCGCCCCGCCCCCCATTTATAATGCACCTTCTGTCATTTACTTGTGAGCAAAAACAAAACAGAGATGAAGATCCAGAAAGAACTGCAAACACTTTTTATTTTTATAACTTTAACGGTCTCAATAACTTTCTTTAACTTTTATTCAGAGTGATTTGTGTTAAATATAGGTCAAGTATTGATCCAGGCTGATCTTGCACAATCTTTAAAACCTCGCTCTTGCTCATTAGTGAGACCATTAGTGAGACCAAGTGGGGCTGGTGATCTACCTCTGACCCCTCTGACCCCAGTAGATCGCGATCTACCTGTTGGACACACCTGCATTAGACCATTGATTTTAAACCCATTGATGCTAAATACCCTTGCAGTCCTTATCCTTCTGTTGTGGAATTCACAGGTATGCTGCCTTTAAAACGGGAGGTCCCGTTCCTCCATGGATTGGTTTAATCCAGTTAAGTCATGTCGGCCCACAAGAATGGTTGCCAACCCCAGTGAGGCCTGGAGATCTCCCAGAATTCCAACTGCTTTCCGGAAGACAGAGGTAATTTCCTCTGGAGGAAATGGCTGCTTTGGAGGGTGGCCTCAATAGCATCAGACCCTCCTGAGGGCCTTCTGGCCCCGGTAGTGGACCTCTGGATGGACCCTGGGTTTGGCCACCGTTGGGATTACTTCTTCACCCAAAGAGTAACTAACACATGGAATTCACTGCCACAGGAGGTGGTGGTGGCAGCTACAAGAATGGACAGCTTCAAAAGGGAATTAGATAAGCCTATGGAGCAGAGGTCCATCAGTGGCTCTTAGCCACAAGGTATAGATAGGGACTCTGGGGCAGGTGATGCTCTGTCTTCTTGGTGCTTGGGGGGGGTCAACAGTGGGAGGGCTTCCACTGCTGGACCCTGATGGCCCCTGGTATTTTTGGCCCCCGTGTGACACAGGGTGTTGGACTGGATGGGCCTTTGGCCTCATCCAACATTGGTGTCCCTTATGTTCTTGGATGGGCCATTGGCCTGACCCAGCATTGGCGTCTCTTAAGTTCTGATGCCCAAGTCTGGCAGGGCCACAGCTAATGGGTGGGAGGTCTGGCCCCCCCCCAGCAGTCGTGGGAGTTTTTTATTCGGGTTCCAACTCCTCTGGCACCCAGTAGCTGTTCTCCCAAGGGAGCAAAGCTTGAGCAAAAGATGTTTGGCATCTAATGTCAACCCCCCCCCCAACACACACAGACAAACACATGCCCGTGTGAAAGAAACCATAAGAACATAAGAGACGCCAATGTTGGATCAGGCCAAAGGCCCATCCAGTCCAACACTCTGTATCACACAGTGGCCAGAAATACCAGGTGCCATCAGGAGGTCCACCAGTGGGGCCAGGACATTAGAAGCCCTCCCACTGTTGACCCCCCCCCCAAGCACCAAGAAGACAGAGCATCACTTGCCCCAGAGCCCCTAGCTATACCTTGTGGCTAATAGCCACTGATGGACCTCTGCTCCATATGCTTATCTAATTCCCTTTTGAAGCCGTCCATGCTTGTAGCCGCCACCACTTCCTGTGGCAGTGAATTCCAAGTGTGAATCACTCTTTGGGTGAAGAAGGACTTCCTTTTATCCGTTCTCACCCGACCGCTCAGCAGTTTCATGGAGTGCCCACAAGGAGTTCTTGTATTGTGAGAAAGGGAGAAAAGTACCTCTTTCTCCACCTGCTCTTTCCCATGCATAATCTTATAAACCTCAATCATGTCACCCCTCAGTCGTCATTTCTCCAAGCTAAAGAGCCCCAAGCGCCTTAACCTTTCCTCATAGGGAAAGTGTTCCACCTGTGCGGTGCTTGCTGTTTGGGGAAACGGTTTTACCTTTAAACATGCATTGAGTACATAAACTTGGTAGTTTTCTGCCGCCACCAGGAATTAAAATTCCACTTCTCTCTCTCCTTTGGTAGTGTGACCCAGGGTCTGGGCACTTCGGAGGACAATGCGGCCCTGAGGAAGGACTGTACTGATTTCTGGGATGGTTTTAAGCAAAAACGGATTTATTTAACAAAGAACAAAATAGGTTTCTGGTTATTTTGAAATGTTACTGAAAAAAGAACTTGTGGATATAACCGGCAAAGCTTGGTGTCACAAACAGTCTCTCCGACTTTGCGCTGACAGGCTAATCTCTTTCTCTTTCATAGCCACACAGGCTAAGCTCTTTGTCTTGGGCACACAGGATAAAACATTTGTCTAACCACGCAGTTTAGACACAACTTGTTTCTTTTCCATATAGACTCGCTCACAAAACTTTTAGTCACACAGACTCCACTCAGAACATCTCCTCCCACACTCTGTCCTCAGCCAATCAAATCACACTCATCTCCCCCTATCACTCTTCTTTCATTACTGCAGACAAACATTTAAAGACACACACACACCCCAAACATCGAATCACTACACCCACTGCCCTTGTTGCTGATTTTAAAAAAAAAAGTATTTATGCATCTCCAAAGGCAAGACGCCGAATATAAATGTCACTCCCGGAGAAGGTCCTGCCCGCAGGCTTAATTTGCAGAGTAGCAACATTCCACAGGGATGTGGGCAGCATCTCGGGAGAGTCAAAGAACTCAATTCGTCCTGGGCTGCCTCGAAGTCCAAGCTCACTGTCAAGTGCAGAGGGAAGTGGGGGCTTCCACAGCGTCTTGAGTGGGGTCGGCCAGCGACCGGAGCATTTGCCCTCTCCGGGGCTGTGAGAAACCACTCTTCTTCAATGAAACGTGGTGTGAGCCGAGGGGCTTTTGTTCGGCGGATGCTGGAGGGTGTGGAGGTGGGGCGGCATAGTTGCCAAGTGGACTTCAGGCTGACACCCTGTGGCATTAGCGCCCGCTTGCAACAAATCAGTGTCCAACACTGCGGTGGAACCCGTTAGGGGACACCAAGGCGGGGGGGCAGTGAAGCTGGGAGCATGTGCGGATTGCTGGCCCAAGGGGTGCCCCACAAGCGGCATAGAGCAGGGCACTGCCACCATGTCCCAATAGGCAGAATCCATGTACGCTGTGGGGCAGACAGGCAGGGCAGGTGTCAGTGGGAAAGCAAAGAGTGGCGGGAGAGGAAAGGGGGTCACCACACCGGAGGCCATGCTGTTCGCGTAGGAGGCGGGCACCTGGCCCCAAGGCATGATGGGAAACGGGCACACCACTGAACTAGGAGGGACGCAGGCACAGAGAAGATGGGGAGAGCTGGTTGGAGAGGGGGTGGCAGAAGAGCTCCCCCCCCTCAACGAAGAACAGGAGCCAGTCCCAGGGGAGTGGCCCTGGCTGCTCGGGCCTGGAGGGTGAGGAGAGGGTAAGGATTTAGCAGCACCGCTTCCTAGTTCTGGGTTCGAGTCCGCCCTGTGCAGGTCCCGCAGGATGGCCTCGATGGTAAAACACCGGCTCTGGGGAGGCCTGGGGGTCTCTGCCCCACCTCCGGCAGGAAGGGGTTGAGCCACGGGCGGTGCCCAACAGTCAGGCCTGCAAGAGGCGGTGTAGGAGCGGCCGTGGAGCACGTAGGGGGTCAGGTCATGGACAAAGGCCGCCTCCTCCCTGCGCGAGATGGGTGTGTTCTGCAGCTTGAGGGCCTCGGGCGGGATGCGGCTCACGTCGACCGTCCAGAAGTTCCCCTTGGCCTTGGGCTTGGCCGGATCCTTCAGCACCTGCGGGAGAGGGAGAGAGTGAGGGGGGCAGGCAGGGGAGGGGGCTCATCGGGGTCACACGTCCCCCTTTTTCATAGTGGGGGGGCTTTCCCACCACAAGGCTGGAAATCCCTTGAGCCCTTCTGTGTGCCACATCCAGTGTTCCCTCTAAGCTGAGTTAGTGTGAGCTAGCTCAAAGTTTTTTAGCCTCCGTCTCACACATTTTTGTCTCAGCTCAGGAAGGAGGGCTCCGGAGCAAACTAATGTATGCAAGTAGCCAAATCACTCGCTCACAACTGTAATGTCAGTAGCTCACAAAATAGAATTTTTGCTCCCAAGACTCCACAGCTTAGAGGGAACATTGGCCACATCCTTATAAAAGCAGACCCATGTGTACGGTTGCTGAGCGAGGATGCTAAAGGCAGGTGTTTCCCTTCATACTATCCACGCTACAAGGTCCTGAACTCTTCCGTGGGGGACGCAGTGTTCCCTCTAAGCCGAGTTAGCGTGAGTTAGCTCACAGTTTTTTAGCCACCAGCTCACGCATTTTTGTCCTAGCTCAGGAAGGAGGGCTCCAGAGCAGACTAATTGATGCAGGAACCAAATGGCTTGCTCACTGCTTTAATGGCAGTAGCTCACCAACGTAGAATTTTTGCTCACAAGACTCCACAGCTTAGAGGGAGCATTGGTGGGAAGCATACTTCGAAGTGGGGGACAAGAGCCATATTTTTTTCCACACCAGCTGGGGAACGCATTCCAAAGAGAAATCGCAAAGCAGCGTCAAAGCGCTCTGCTGGATTGGAGCGAAGGAAGAGGAGAAGAGCAGGTTTTTATTTCCCGCTTTTGTCTGCCTTAGAGAGTCCCAAACCTTCCCTTCCCCTCCCCAGAGCAGGCCCCTTGTGAGGCAGGTGGGGCCGAGAGAGTTCGGAGGCTGGCCCAAGGTTACCCAGCGGGCTTCACACGAAGGAGTAGAGAATCGAATCCGGCTCTCCGGAATAGAGTCCGCCACTCTTAACCACTACCACACTATCAAACCCCCTCCCAGATCTGGCAGTCTGTTTGCAATAGTGCCCACTGGACTGTTCAAGGAAGCGTGCATGCAGGGTGTAAAAGCAAAAACCCGCTCAATGATCTGATACTTCTTCACCCAAAGAGTGATTGACACCTGGAATTCACTGCCACAGGAGGTGGTGGCAGCTACAAGCATGGACAGCTTCAAGAGGGAATTAAATAAGCTTATGGAGCAGAGGTCCATCAGTGGCTATGAGCCCCAAGGTAGAGATAGGAACTCTCAGTCTGGGGCAAGTGATGCTCTGTCTTCTTGGTGCTTGGGGGGGGGGCAACAGTGGGAGGGCTTCTAGTGTCCTGGCCCCACTGCTGGACCTCCTGATGGCCCCTGGTATTTCTGGCCACTGTGTGACACAGAGTGTTGGACTGGATGGGCCATTGGCCTGATCCAGCATTGGCTGCTCTTATGTTCTTATATTCAGGGATAGACTCTCTTTAAATATGGAGGTTCTGTTTAACTATCATGGCTGCCTGGTCTAACAGCCGGTATTTTCTACGTGGAGATTAGAAAGAGAGACGAATTGCAATTGATAATGAAGCTCAAGACAATGCATCCACCTGGATTGAATAATAGAATCACGGAGGTGGAAGGGACCTCCAGGGTCATCTAGCCCAACCCCCCTGCACAATGCAGGAAATTCACAAATACCTCCCCCTCCACACACACCCAGGGACCCCTGCTCCATGCCAAGAAGAGGGCCAAAACGGGGGGGAAACCCTCCAGGATCCCTGGACAAATTGGCCTGGAGAAAAATTGCTTCCTGACCCAAAGTGGCGATCAGCATTTCCCTGTAAGAAAGGGCCACGAGAACTAAGCACTGGTCCAACCCTTCCTCCCCCCCCCCCTCATGATCTGCCTAAGTTCACAGAATACGCATTGCTGTCAGATGGCCACCTAGACTCTGCCTGAAACTTCCAAAGCAGGAGAGCTCACCACCTCCCGAGAAAGCCTGTTCCACTAAGGAACCGCTCGGTCAGGAGTTTCTTCCCAATGTTTAGCCAAAAACTCTTCTGATTTAATTTCAACCCATTTATCCCCACTGAAATTCATTAAATTTCCTTTAGCCCAGTTTCCCAGCCTGTCAAAATCATCCTGTATCCTGACTCTGCCTTCTACTGTATTTGCTACCTCGCCCAAGTATCATCTGCAAATTTTATAAGCATTCCCTCTACTCCTTCATTGAAATAATTGATAAAGATGTTGAACAAAACAGGTCCCAGGACAGATCCTTGAGACACTCCACTCGTCACTCCTCTCCAAGAAGATGAAGAACTATGCACAAGCGCTCTTTGGGTGCGATCTGTCAACCAGTTACAGATCCACCTAACAGTCATCGGATCCAAAGCACATTTTACCAATTTGCCAACAAAAATATTATGTGGAACCTTATCAAAAAGCCTTACTGAAATCAAAATAAACTATGTCCACATCATTTCCCTGATCCAGCAAGGAGGCCTAGGTTTCCTGTCTCATTACCAATGCTGATCTCATCACACCTATTACCCCTCTGCATATCTCACCTAAATCTAATCACACCTGCTATTGTTATTCACCTGCTATTGTCATTTGCCTGGTAATGTCATTCCACATCTGAAATCACTCCACTTTTCAATAAACAGGACAGATGGACTCCCATTATAGCTGTATCCGAAGAAGTGACTCACGAAAGATCATATCCTGCCACATATTTTGTTAATCTTTAAGGTGCTACTGGACTCTTGCTCTTTTCTTACAGGGGTTTAATTCAAACCTACACTACTTGAAAAGAGGTGAGTTGTTCGTTTGTTTTTTGCAGGGGAAGTTACATCAAAGCAACACACTGACAAAAATGCAAAACTGGGAAAGGATGCCCACTCCTTCCATGGGTAACCTGGAGCTGCCCACCCCTTCCTCTTGGCCTTGCTGCACCCATGGGGGCCTCCATCTCACAGCAGTGTGACTGCATGAAGCCACCTGCCTCATCGAGTCCATTACAGTTTGACCAGGAAGAAGAAGAAGAGAGAGAGATTGTTGGATTTATACCCCGCCCTTCACTTGGAGTCTCAACGCAGCTTACAAACTCCTTTCCCTTCCCCTCCCCACAACAGATACCCCGTGAGGTGGGTGGGGCTGAGAGAACTCTGGCACAAACTGCTCTTTTTCAAGGACAGCTGTGCCAGAGCTTGTGACCAGTGTTCCCTCTAAACTGAGTTAGTGTGAGCTAGCTCACAGTTTTTTAGCCTCTGGCTCACATATTTTTGTCTTAGCTCAGGAAGGATGGCTCCAGAGCAAACTAATTTATGCAGTAGCCAAATTGCTTGCTCACTGGTTCTCGCAGATTAGAGTCCACACACTTAACCACTACACCAAACTGGCACCAAAAGGAAGAGGCAGATGGTGTAGACCAAGCCCTAAGAACGTCTGAAGATCCCCGCTGGATCAGGCCAGGGGCCCATCTCGCCCAGCAGCCTCCGGTTTCACACAGCAAGCCAAGAAATTGCTCCGGACAGCCGACTGATACTCATCAGACTTTTAATTCCAGGGCAGTGTTTCCTCTAAGCTGAGTTAGTGTGAGTTAGCTCACAGTCTTTTAGCTTCCAGCTCATACATTTCTGTCTTAACTCAGGAAGGAGGGCTCCAGAGCAAACTAATCTATGCAACAGCCAAATAGCTCGCTCACAACTTTAATGCCAGTAGTAGCTCACAAAGGAGAATTTTTGCTCACAAGACCCCACAGCTTAGAGGGAACATTGGTCCAGGGTTAACATTGGTGTTTGGGCAGTAATGTTTGGCTGGAACCACAGCTCAGTGGCAGGGCATGTGCCTGGCATGCAGAAGGTCCCAGGTTCAATCCCCGGCAGTTCCAGTCAAAAGGGGCTCAGTCAAGTGGTAACGTGAAAGACCTCCAGCTCAGACCCTGTGGAAAGCTGTAAATAGGGGCTGTGGCTCAGTGGTAGAGCCTCTGCTTGGCATGCAGAAGGTCCCAGGTTCAATCCCCGGCAGCATCTTCAGTTAAAAGGACCAGGCTGGAGGTGATGGGAAAGACCTCCACCTGAGAACCTGCAGAGCTGTAAAGAGGGGCCATGGCTCAGTGGAAGAGCCTCTGCTTGGCACGCAGAAGGTCCCAGGTTCAGTCCCCAGAGGCATCTCCAGTTAAAAAGGACCAGGCAGGAGGTGATGGGAAAGACCTCCGCCAGAGGCCCTGGAGAGCATTAAAGAGGGGCCGTGGCTCAGTGCCAGAGCCTCTGCTTGGCACACAGAAGGTCCCAGGTTCAATCCCTGGCATCTCCAGTTTAAAAGGACCAGGCAGGAGGTGATGGGAAAGACCTCCACCTGAGGCCCTGGAGAGCTGTAAAGAGGGGCTGTGGCTCAGTGGCAGAGCAGCTGCTTGGCATGCAGAAGGTCCCAGGTTCAGTTTCCGGCAACTCCAGTTAAAAAGGACTAGGCAGGAGGTGATGTGAGCTGCTACCAGTCTGAGTAGACTATCCTGGCCTTGATGGACCAACGGTTTGAATCAGTGTAAGGCAGTTTCATGTGTTCGAGGCACAAGAGGCTAATGAACTCTACAGGCTGATCCAGCCTCTCAGCTCCAGCAGGATTCAGCGGCTTGCACCCAAGTGCTTGGAAACTGGCTCCTTTGCCCCCCGCCCGTGCCAAGGGGAAAGGAGAAGAATGCCTCTAGGGCCAGGGTCCCCAGCCAGCCTCCCCTCCCCTCCCCCCAGTCTCCCAGCCCCTCACCTTGTGGAAGCAGTCGTTGGAGGAGAGGTTGTGCCGGATGGAGTCCTTCCAGCCCTGGTAGCCTTCCTTGAAGAAGGGGAAGAGGGAGCTGATCTCCTTGATGATCTGAAATACAGGAAGGGGGGGGAATGACCATTTTAGAAGTGCCGGCCTTGATCCAGAAGGGTTTGGAGACTGGCTGTGTTTTCTTGGGGGAGGGGGGAGAGAAACGGCGCTCTGCACATGCTCAGCGTCACCATCACCTTCGTTCTACCGCCACAAGCAGCCTGCCAGTATCTACGGGACCATCTCCTCCGTTATGTACCTGGAAGGGGACTGTGCTCCTTGGTAGAGATGTAAAATTTCCAGAAATTTTGAAGCTCAGAAAAAACCCTGGGTTTTTTCCTTTTTTTTTCGGGAAAAAACGGAAATTTTCGGAAAAATTGAAAAAAATGCTACATTAGCATTTCTTTTGTCTTTTCTAGATTGAAAGTCATTCTGTTACTTTAAGAACATAAAATATGACTATGGACATTTTTACTTGGCATGAAATTATCACAACTAGCATATTAAAAATATAGTGTATCCAAACAATTATTACAAACAGAATACCCACCTACATGCAAAAACAAAACAGAAACTTTTTTATTTTCTTCTGACAATCACACCTCCTAAAGGAAGAAATGCATCTTGTTCTGTTTGTAACCTAGGTCTTGCTTGTCCTCAGTGTACAGAAATTAGATCAATCTGATACCATATATATATATATTTTAGAAATGATTTGGAAAATATTTGAACACCTTGTCTTAAAATATTTTATTCATCATGTTAAAATAAAACGTTCCATGATCAATTTCTTTTCTTTTCTTTCTTTTTTCAATTTTTCGGAAAAAAACAAAAAGGCTTCAGAAACCCCCCCCGAAAAAACCCTGTTTTTTTTCCGAATTTTTCCGGGCCTTCACATCTCTACTCCTTGGACAACAGACCGGTGATCCCCGGCCCTAAGGACGTCCGGCTGTCCTCCCCCCCAACCCAGTAGAACTCTCTGCCAAATCCCATGAGGGCCCTGCGGGACCTTACTCAGTTCCGGGGGGCCTGCAAGGCAAAGCTTTTGGTTGAGATCACAGGGATGGTTCTTACGCCCCCCCCCCGGCTGCCACCCTCGTTTTGACCTCCCCCCCCCACCGTCGGTGAAACGGCCGGCAGTCTGTAATAGGGGGATAATCAAGGTACTACTCGCCATCTCTTTCAATGTAATTAATATGCCTGATTGTTTTTAATACTATGTACATTGCCCAGGGAGCTGCGGTGGCTCAAGGGGTTAAGACGCTGAACTGCAGGCTGTGGAAGGTCGGTAGTTCAGCAGTTCGAGACCTGAGTGTGCCGCATGACGGAGTGAGCTCCCGTCTCTGGTTCCAGCTCCTGCCAACCTAGCAGTTCGAAAGCAAGACATTGCAAGTAGATAAATAGGGACCACTTCAGTGGGAAGGGAACAGCGTTCCGTGTGCCTTGGTGTTTAGTCATGGCGGCCACATGACCACGGAAACGTCTTCGGACAGCGCTGGCTCTTCGGCTTGGAAATGGAGATGAGCACCGCAACCCTAGAGTCGGATTTGACTGGCTTTCGAGCAAGGGAACCTTTACCTTTACATTGCCCAGAGCCCTACAATAGTAAGGACGGGGCGATTCGACAACAACAACAATAATGAAATCAAATGGGCAATAGGGATGGGAGTGTTGGTCCCTATTTTGGTGTCCCAGGTGGAAAACACAAAGGCTGATGCCCCTTTCTCCTGATCTTAATAATCATAGGGTGTTAGAGTCAGAAGGGATCTTGAAGGTCATCTAGTCCAACCCCCTGCACAAGGCAGGAGCAGAGCCGAAGGAGAGCCCCACAACATATTAATTCTATTTGCTTCATTTATATATGGTCTTTCTCCCGAGTGGGGACCCCAAGGTGGCTTTACATTGTCCCCCTCTCCTCCATTCCATCCTCACATCAACCCTGTGAGGTAGGTCAGGCTGAGGGTGCCACAGCCGTTTCTGTGGCAGAGTAGGGATTCGAAATCGGGTCTCCCAGATATTAGCGAGACACTCTGACCCCCTACACCACACTGGGCCCAGTCCACCAGGCAGTTCGGCACCAGCCCCATGGAGGAGTGCGAGGGCAACCCGTTTGCAAGGTGTAGGAAACGGGGACACAACTTCAGCCCAAGCTGCCCATTAGCCGTGATGGTTCAATGGAACCTCCCTCTTCAGAGGCAGTATACCTCTCAATACCAGTTGCTGGGGATGACTCTTGCCCTCACACCCTACTGGCAGGTTTCCTGGAAGTGGCTGGCTGACCACTCTTGGAGACAGGCTGGTGGGGCAGGTGGGCCCGCTCTGATCCTGAAGCAAAGACAGGCCCAGCCTGGCAAGTGCTGGAGAGACTCTGCACACCACTCCTGCGAAGTGGTGCCTGCAAATGAGCAAACCTGCAGAGCAGAGTGCGGTGCCATTCACAGTTCAAGGGTGCGTGTGCGCGTACGCGTGTGTGTGCTGTAATGGAGGAGGTGGGTTGCCAACCTCCTGATAGGGCCTGGAGATGCCTGCAATGACAAACAGTCCCCATACTATAGAAATCAGTTCCCCAAAAGACAAAGAGAAGAAGAGAAGATTGGATTTGTAACCCATGGCCCTTCACAACCTGGAGGAGTCTCAGAGCGGCTTACAAACTCCTTTCCCTTCCCCTCCCCACAACAGGCACCCCGTGAGGAAGGTGGGGCTGGGAGAGCTCTTTTCAAGAACTGCTCCTGAGAGAACAGCTCTGAGAGAACTTGTGACAGACCCAAGGTCACACCAGCAGCTGCAAGTGGAGGCGTGGGGAATCAAACCCAGTTCTCCCAGATTAGAGTCCCAGGCTCCCAACCGCTACACCAAACTGGCTCTTTGAAAAGAAAAACGGCGGCCACGGAGGGTGGACTCCCGTCTCCAGGGCTTTGCCTTCTCTCTCCCCATCCCCAAATCTCCAGGCATTTACCAATCTAGCGTCGGCAACCCCGGGGAAAGAGCAGGGCGATGCCAGTGTGACTGCGGGGGCTGTCTCAGTCCTCCTCCGTGAGTTTATTTCGTCAAGAATTTGCAAGGGGGTGTGTGTGTCACCCGGGGCTAGTAAGCCCTGGGGGAGGGGGGGGAGAGAAGCAGGCCGCCCCAAAGACGGCAGGGTCGGTCCCCTTGCGGGGCTCCTTATTTATTATTCGTTTAATCTGCCCCTCGCCTTTTGGCCCCCAGCCGCTCCCATCATTCTCCGCTCCTGCGTTTTGCCCTCACAACAACCCCGGGAGGTGGGCTGACCCGAGAACGGCTCAAGAGCAAGAAGCGCCTGCCTTGAATGGGGAGAGACTCTAGCAGGGCGCGTGGGCTGAGTCAGGCCTCCGCAGCAGCCGCCTCTAGGCAGGGAAGTCGCCCGGCCAGCCGGCATCTCTGTGCTCAGAGGAGCCCCCTTCGCGGGGGGGGGGGGGGGGGGGCC